GGATTTCTTGTGACCTCGGACACTTCTTGCTGGTGATGAAGTGCGAGGTGAACAAAAGGGAGGTTCCTGTACTATGTGCGAGCTACTCCTTTGAATGTCGTAGAGAAGGCAGCGCACATGCAGGACTCGTTAGCACCAGCTAGATGCATCTGGGACTGGAATGAGTCTACATGATCATTTGGGTCGAACGACCCATTATACTTATTTAGCGGAGGCACTTTGAAGTCCTTCGGCATCGTACTTATCTAGGGGAGCGGTCTTCGTGGCTTCCGAGCTCGCCTCCTCTTTACCTTTAGGTTGCTCAGGTTGACTAGGTCCAAGGAGCTGGGTTGGAACTACAGTTCGACGTGCCTTAGGACGCCACCTTTGCTTTTTCTTGACTGGCTCCGCATTGGTGCTGTTGACCTCAGTGTGGTCGGGTAATGTCTTGGCACGGAGTGGTTCGGACTGTTGACGTTGGCTGCTGTGAACGGAGGGGCCTCGCCTGGAGTCTGCGGCCAGAACCCCGAACCGGTTCCCTGCTAGCGAACCTTCATGTTGCGAGGGCTGAGGTGAAGTAGCTCTGGCGGGCTGAGTGTCTCCCGACCTGTTCACGTTCTGTGAAGCGGGAGGAGTAACTTGCCTTTCCCTCCTGCCACGGGACAAGACCTGGCTCCCAAGGGGATGCTGGATCTGGGAAGTCTCTCCCCGGCGAGGAGGGCGAGTGTTTTGACGACGGGACTTATTCTGCTGTGCTGCTGGATGCCGAGGTGGAACCGACTGTTGATTCTGCTGCAGTGGTGGGAACTGCTGCTAGTAAATGTGGTGTAAAACCTGTTGCTGGTAGTGCTAAAATTGTTGGACCTGTTGCATTTGGGCTTTCTAGCCCGCACGCAGTGTACCAGGTCGTCGAGCTAATGCTGTTCGACTCCAGGGGGAACCACTGAAGGTTCAACAAAAGTTGCACCCATGACAGGAGGAAGTGGGGCGTTCACTGGCATAGTTGCTTGAGGCATGGTCAGCGTCGGGACCCACTTGCGGAGAGCGGTATGGTGAACTGACCGGTGCACATGGTCGGGATCTGAGGTTGCCCCCAAGAGACATTCATCTCATTATTTTGTCCGGCATTGTTGGAGGATGCCATGGATTCTGGGTTTGTGATTCTTGGTGGAAAGAGGCTTCTCGTAGCGTTTCCTATAGACGACGCCAATTGATGTAGCGCGATCTAGCTGCTCCCTGCTGGAGGTGATATGGATTCTAGACGGACAATAGACTGAACCTGCAAGGATATTAGAGAACCCGAGGATGCTAACCCGACGAGGTTGTTCCGATGCTTAAGTCAGTAGGCTAGTAGCGAGCTGAAATTTCTTTGAAAGTAGAGAGCTTGAGAGCAGGAAAATCACGCATACCTTGCACCCCCGAGGGGTGGAGCCCTTATATAATGGAGTCCTCGCGGGTTTCGCGGAGTGGTTTCGGGATCCTCGTCACGATGAGATCCACTTCTGCGTTAATGGGGGATAACTAATAGGGTTTATCGAGTCTGCCCGAATCGGCCGGGGGAGATAACACTGGCTGTTACGTGGCATGATCCCGTGAAGTTCGGGAACCGCCGAAGGGATTTTTGGGATCACCACGTAGTGGCGTGCTGGTATCCCAGACTGATGTCTTTAAGTCCCGAACTGGGTTGGATGCCGGAGTGCCTTGGCATCAGGTTGTTCTTGTTTGCGATCTGGTACCATGTCGATCTCGTCCCGAGGTGAGCTTGTTCCAAGGTCAATTTAGCTCGAGGTGGTCGGGTACCCAAGCTTGATCTGCTGTGGACTCGTTAAGCTGAGTTGTCATCTTTTGATCAGGTTGTGTCCACGTGTCCCCCTGTTACGAGGTCGAGCCAAACCACCCTTCATCACACCGCAACTATACTTTAGACCTAAAAATTCTGACCGTGGACTGAACCGTCATTCTACCTACATTCTATTCAACATTGTTTTTCAAATTTATCTTTGTTTTGAAAATTGGTTTTCTCCTCATGGTTGGACTTGACTTTTAAGCTCCTTTTGTTTTCAATGCAATTTTGTTTGCACTAGTACAAATGCATCAGAATGCAAATTCAGATCCACATTTGTTTTGGGTTTTATTTCAGTTAGCTTCAGGTTTTATTTTTACATTGTAAATGAACAAAAAATGAATCAGAATTTTTTGCACGGCAAACAGCCAATCCCCAATAATCAACATAATTCTTATCCTATGTGTCTATCCTAAAGATATCCTTGTGGACCTCATTGGAGAGATTGGTCCTCTCAGATTACTGCTTGAAGAAGAAAAAAGGTAAAAACAGAAATTCATTAAACAATTTGTGGAGCGCGTTTAGAGGTTGAAGAATAACCCAATTTTAGATTTTTTGATAAACTAATAACCCAATTTTAGATAGTTGATGCATATAGAAGAAGAAAGACTTAAAATTTGAGAAAAACCGACCATATCACTCTCTTTGCCAAGTAAATTTGTTAAACCAATACCTTTTCTAATGGGGAATCCTATGTAACTTTTCATCATTTTTCCTTTTAGGGTATGCTTGGAGGAATATAACAATTCATAAAAGTGTTATGCTTTTTAATTTTGTCAATATGCCACACTCTAGGGAATGACGGAATGCCTCCTGATTACAGAAAGTAAACATCAAAAATGAAGTTTCTGAAAACGGCCCTCCACACAGAAATCCGTGTACCTGGTGCACAAACGGGCATTAAAATCAATGGCCTTGTTTTCCTTTTGGGTACTGAAAGCTTCAACTTCAATAAGAAAACGATTGAAAAAAACAAAAAAAACAATTTGGCATGGATAGGTTTATTGGGTCCAAGAAATTCTAAAAAAGAAAAAAAAAAACCTGATATTTTGATGTGTAAAGTGAAAGTGGCTGGAGTTCGGATATTCTCCTCCCATGCATCTGGAATATCTCTGCAATTATAAATTTTTATTCGTAGAAATGCTGTGTGAGGTACGCTTTATGAGAAGCAGGTTCAAACTCAAGTGGGTGTGTATGTTAGGTTTGTGATTTAGAGGCCTGCCCAACTGAAAACGTGAAGTTAGAAAATCCAAATTGGTTTACCTTCTTAGGGCATAGGAATACGCATGGTGGGGGACCTCCTCTTCAAGTATCTCAACTCCCCAATTAGAGACAAGATTTTCTTGTTTTGTTGTTGTTGGGCCACTTGTTGCTTATTTTAAAGCCTAAACCATCTGTGAAGTAAGCCACCATGTGGCATCCATCATCGGTTGGCAGAGCGGCTTTGGGTTCGGAAGTTTTCAATTCTGTAAAGCCTAACTGCGTCTAACACTAGAGTCAAAACAAATAGAATTGTTATTTCATAAGTCTAGTCTTTTTAGAAAGATATTCTGATCATTTAAATGACTAAAACATGTAATGAATTTTTAGGGTCTTGTCTTAAAAACTTTAGATGGTTTAAGTTTGATAAGTATCCTAATTTATCATAATCTATAAAGCTGGAGTTTTTTAAGGACAAAAGTCTGTTTGGCTTCCTGTCTTTTAGGCTGTGTTTGGTAAATTTATGTATATTAGTACAAATGCATTGGAGTGCAAATGTAAAATTTTTGTTTAATTTTGTTTTAAATTTTACTTTATTCTAATTCATATCTTAATTTAATTCATTTGTACTGCAACCAAACAAAATAAGCTAAAATTTGAAACAAAAATAGGTCAGAATTTACACTCAAATCATTTGCACTGCCATGCCATGATTTTGTATCTGTACAAATTTATTTACATTACAACCAAACACAGCCTTATTATGAAATGGAAAAAGACGAAATTTGATATACCAAGTTTTAGAAAAGACCATAAACACTTGCCAAACGCCACCAGATTCCTTTTCTTTCCCTTCTGGTTAGAGATTTGGTTGATTCTCAGTTTACCACGAATCGAGTCGTCAACCATCCCGACTGTAAGCAAAGAGAAGGCTGGATTTGGTTTTTTCAATCAATTAATAAATAAATGAAGGTGCCAAAGCATTAAAATAGATTACAACTACAAAACCTCCTTCCATATAAAATACACACAGAGCGCACGGGAGAGAATCCTATGAAATGCAAGAACCCTTTTGCCTTTTCCCCCTCTGGCTTCATGGCATGAGGCATGATGACTACACGACGAGCGTAGTACGTGGCGCACGGTCGTGGCGACAAAAGTTTTAAAATGACGCTTCCCGCATATTCCCCGAATGTACTCCTCCCTTCCTCCATTCCCATCCCCCCTACTATTACTCTATTACGCCTTGTCGCCTCATCTTATTCTTACCCCTCCCCCCCTTTTTTTTTTATTTTGAAAATTATTAAAACAAAAAAGAAAAAAGAAATCTCCATTCTCCACTCCACCTGACCTTAGCCCTTGCCACCCACCAACACCCAACGCCAGCGCCTCTACCTCCTCCACAGGGTTTCTTCTGGTTATAACCCTTTTTTTTTTTCTAATTGTGTGTTATAGTGTGGTACTGCTCCATGTCCACCTCTCCCCTTCTTGATTGGACCTCTTTTTTTTTTTAATTATTTTTCCTAGTCCTAACTCCTACTAGATTAGGAAAGAATGAACATCATCATCTTCATCCTCCACTCCAGGCTCCAGCACTTCTCATTCCACGTATGCGCTTCCGTCTAATCACATGAAGAAGCCACATACTTACGTTACGTCAACCCATGATTCGTAACTTCAATCCTCTTTCTCTCTCTCTCTCCCTCTAGTCTCTATCGCTTATTTAATCCCTTACACCAACCGGCCCAGTCGTGATGTGGCACTGCCATGTAGGACCCGGCTTAAGACACGTGGGCTTTCGGCCACACGTTAGTACGTTACCTTGTTAGATTCTTCAACAGATAACCTGGGCCTTGGGCCTAGTCACCTAGGCCTATCACGTGTCTTCTGTTTAAGTGGTGGTTTTAGTAACTTCTAGTTATTCTACAACCATTTCTTTCTCTTACAACCAAACTAACACGAGAAGTATCGCTTCGTTGGTTTCGTTTTCACTTGAAAAATGAAACATCTCTCTCTCTCCCGCGTCGCCGTCATAAAAGACTTTAACAACTAAAGCGCATTTTAACAACGAGCGCCGGCTGACTCTGATTGCAAAATTGCAATGGCTTCTTCTCCAAACACCAAACCTTTTTAAAATAGTATAAAAGGGAGAGCAAAGGGAGATCCTTTCAGATTCCCGGTATCGCTCTTTTCTGCTCTTTTGCTTACTTTTGCATCGTCTCTCTCTCTCTATCTTTCTCTGTTCTCTCTGTCTCTGTCTCTGTGTCTCTCTCTCATTGGCGCCAAAGTTATGAAAGTGGAGATGGTCGGGAAAGAGATGCATGAGGCGATTGAAGAGGAGGAGGAGCAGGAGTTTACGCCGGATATTAAAAAGCAGTTTCCCGCGCCCGTGGATAATGCTGACATAGATGGAGAGGAGCTTTTCGTTCCGCCTCTCAACTTTGCCATGGTCGACAATGGTGTCTTCAGGTCTGGTTTCCCAGACACACCCAACTTTTCCTTCTTACAGACCCTTGGTCTTCGTTCCATCGTGTAAGCCACTTGTTCTTCATTTTGCCTTCTTCTTCGGTTGTTGTTATTGTTGTTATCGCCTTTTTTTTTTCTTCTTGGATTCCTGTTGCGCTTCGTGTCATGTTTCGTGGATTTAGGGTTTTAATTTGCTCAATCGGTGTAGATATCTCTGTCCGGAACCTTATCCTGAGCACAACACCGAGTTTCTTAAGTCGAATGGGATTCGTCTTTTTCAATTTGGGATTGAAGGATGCAAGGTACGGCTTTTCCCTCCCTTCTTACTATTTGTTTGATCGCTGTTTTCCAAGATTGCAGACAACTAGCTTAGATTAAGGTTTTTAGTATTTTACAGGAATTTGTCTTCAGCACTTGCTCAGTTAAGCTCGGATATCCTTCTTCTTTATTATGCTGATTTTCTCCTATTTTTCTCTTTCCCGTATCTATGCTAAATAACAAACACAGCATGCATGCCTACTGAACTTGAGAACTGGACATTAGCTGTTGACAGAGATAGTGAGCATACTATCCAGAATACGGAGATCCAAGTTAATTGTGCCATCTAGTCGTGGCATGCAGAGTACGGAAGACAGGCGTAATTGAATCATATGACTACAACTGGTTCAGCCATAATAAGTAGCTGACGATGATAAACAATATATAACATTAATGAATTCCAGATCTTAATTCTCTAATATGATATAATGCGTTCTGGAAGTCCATCTTTCTTCTTTCCATGGTAACCTGAGTGTACGGAGTAATTTTTGTCACCCTTATATTTCTGACATCTAGATTCTTCAATTCTACAGATTTGCTCAGTTTGTTACACATAGAAATCCATAAGTGAGAAAATTGGATGTCCAGCAACGAGATTACAGAGAGCTTTGTATATTGTTTTTCTTTTCTCTAAATCAAGCATTGGAGATCGGGATTGGAAAGAGATTTTTATTTTTTGGTAAAACGAAATCAGAGATTGGAAAGAGATGAGGGAGGGTCTTCTTATAATATGGAGATTGCCCTTTTACCTACTCCACTCCGTCCCCTTCGAGAGAAAAATCTGTAGGAGTTTGAGAGCAATATCACGAAATGGCTGGCTGTTTCCTTTTTCAAGGAAATGAAAATCTGTTAGCTTCACGCCTACTTTCAATTCTCGTTCTTTTAGCCTCCACTTACCTTCTACAAGGTCATAAATTTCAAAAGTCAAATACCCTTTTTTTATTGATAAGTCAAGCCTTACCATTTAAATTTGAATGACTAATCAAAATTACCAACAAAACATACATCTTTTTATATGCTGTAATATATGATAGGATCATGCGGTCAATGCTCCCTTGCCCTAAGGTTGTGGCAACTCCTTTTTCTGGCTGGAGTAAGAGCTTCAAGCATGTTCAAGTCTGCTCAATCACCTCTTTATTGGGTTGATTCAAGTGCCTTTTGATGGTATCAAGTACGGCTGACCATGGGAAAACAAGTTATGAACGGGGAATATCCAATCCATTCCTCTGAAACTAATTGAGAAATCTGTTCTTTTACCTTTTTGGTAAAGATGAAAGATGAATCTTTTTTTCTAGCTTCATATTACAGATATGATGGAGTAGAGTTAACCTCTGCAACTATGGTTGCCTTGACTTTACAAAGCATTTTTTTCCCAATCATCATTACCAATACCATCAATTCATTATCATCTAAGCCTTGTCCCAACCATATGGGGTCGGCTACATGAATCCTGTTTCCCATTCCATTCTGTTCAGTGCCATATCCATTGTGAAATTATGGGTGCTTAAATCATTTCAATATAAGTGTTATATGTTGATTTTTTGTTATACAAATTTAAGTTTGTTATTTGCATCAGTTTCTAATTTCTTTTTTAAGTCATGATATAAACTTGAGGACTATTACCCAATGTTTGTCCTTGCTATCAGTGGTATTGGAAAGGGTGGACTGGGTACAGACATAACCTCTGGAATATGACTTCACAGAGATATTCATAACATTTTCCCCTTGATTTAAACTAGTTGATATGTAGACTCCTTTAACATGTTCTTTTCTTTTTACTGATATCAATGAAACTAGTTCATTGAAAATTTAAAACCCTAGGTTACTTTGTTCAAGTCCTTCAGTTAAGGAGTTAAAGCTAGGGTGTAATCGAGTGTTTTCTAATCATTCGAGTGTAATTGAGTTTTAAGCATCTGAGGCTGGGAAAAATATGTGCAAATATTGCACAATTTTTTGAATATATTTATTCTGTCTAAGGTTTCTAAAGATGTGGTGGAGCCATGGAGTCATGGCCCTACTGCCAATTTCTTGGGGAAGCTTATCATGCTATAAGTTGGATTGTTACTTGATCTGTCTTTGTGAATTTACTAGGGACATTTTTGTAGACGTTGAATCCCCTAACCCTCGCTAAGAATTAAAAAAAAAAAAGAAAAAAGAAACAGAAGTAAAAACTCTCTCTAACAGGCACACATGAAACTAAGAAATTATATTATAAATCTATTATTACCTTTTCTACTAAGTGATGTTCATAATTTTCCATTCAATGGAACATATGTTGTACTTGGTATAAATCAAGTTTTGTACTTTAATTACAATTCTTGAAGATGTCACTTGAAACTGCTAAAAGGCCCCTTACACTGTAAATATGGAATAAAATGAGTTTCCTACATAGGTGATTATCCCAACTTCCAAGGATCTATTTTGTACTCAATTCTTGAGTTAAAGAATAAATTTTTGACCATTAGCAAGTGCAATGAACAATACACAGCATAAACTAAGTACAAGAGCACAGATAGAGCAAAAATGATGAAATATTGGGCCAATTGCTACAACCTCACCTAGATTTCCCTCACTAATGAGTCCTCTCTACTCTTGCAAGTTAATTAGCAAGAATGTTAACTGCTCAAAGGATCCCCCAGAATAAGATATTCAACCTAAATGCTAATGCTTTGGCCTCTCTAACAAGGAATTTGAAGGGCCAATGGCCTCGTGCTTGTTCTGATATCTACCCAATTCTAACCTGGCAATCATCTTCTAGATCAACCAACTCCATCCTGAAAGTAAATCAGCTTTAGGCCTTTTAAAAGAGTAAGAAGCTTGCCGATGGTGAGGTCTCATCCTTAATTGGACTGAAGAAGCTTAAAATGGTATTGATGGTGTGCTCTCTAGGTGCACTGGTCAAACTGAATGAACCAGGATTTCCTAAGGTACAATAATCAAAGTTCAATTTAATCTTTCTGTTATTCAGAGCTTAAGTTAAAGAATAGCCATCTCAGACAAATATATTGTTCTGTCTCTCTTCTGTCAGCTGCATCTACTTGAATCCCATGGATGCTATCATCTTTTTTGTTTGGCAATGATAAAGTATTCAGCACAATATTACAACTTTGTTGTGATCCCCAGGGCTGATGCTCCCCAAACCTATGGACACTATAATTGCCACCTTGGTTACTTTCTTTTGTATCTTCTTTAGAATCTCTTTTAGTATGGCTGAAGGACCTTATAACAAAATAATTTTACTATGGTTGAGCTATCACTGAACCTTCTTTGCTCTAGGTGTCCTTTGTCTTCTTCAAATTGAGGCCAGAACTCCTTATGGGATATCCAATAGTTGCAGAGGAGCATAGACTTACTATATGTGGTATTGATCAGCTGTTGTGTGTCAGTGTGTGTGCATGTCCGATTGTCACCTTTTAGATGAGTATCATTATCCTGTAGATGGATTTTTTATGAGAATTATAAACATCTAAGAAAGGAAGCTGCTTAGTAAGGGGTTTGTGTGCACCATCTCCCATGTTGATTTCTTCTTCCTTTTGTTATCAATAAATTCTAAAAGCATCCATCTTTTCTTATAGAAAGGGAATAAAATTAAAAGAAACTACTATTTTTCCATAGTAATCAAAACCAGACGGGAGGTTGACTTGGGTGGATGGCCAGGTCTTGGAACATTGGTTCAACTAGGGGGTTAATCTTGGTTACCCAGGACCTATCCAGCTCAACCTCTAATATGCATCATATAGGTATGTGTAAATACACATCTTTATATATGTCCTCATATTGTATGCGTGTATTTTATTGTGCATGTGACTAGGGGATATTGTTGAACTGAGCTTAGCCTTGTTGACAATGATTAGGTGAACATCAAAAGTACAAGTCCCTTGTTTTCCTGTTTACATTGATTTTTCTAGTGGCTCATCCACTGGTCTGACCATGGTGTTGACAGAATATAGCTGGTTAATATTTGTGGATAGCTTAGTATGAGGGCAAAGGGAAATGGAAGCAAGGACTAATTGTAATGGTGAGCAAATCATTTTAAAAATAAATAAATAAGGAAAAAACATGAACATTTACATCGTTTTGCTTTAATTTCTTTGGACTTTGGAACTTCGATTATTTCCTCTTCACTATTCCATGGTAAATGGAACCTAATTATCTGTTCTACTTTTGTTCTCTTTTATGGTTGAAAATCCTAATTTAAAGTCTAGAATAGAAATCATATTATTTGGTTACCTTTCTGACTTGACATAAAATGTGTATGAATGTGTGCAAAACCTCGTTAACCCATGTGACCAAGGTGTATGTATGTATGTATGCAAAAATAAAAATAGGCACCCAAGATATGATGTTCTTGTTTAAATGAGAGGGTCTGTCCCTTTGAAGCTCCCGACGAATACCCTTCACTTGCTTGTGATCGTGTGAAGATTAGACGCTTGGATTCGTGAGCAAGATAATTTTCTACTGATCATGTTGCCCTGCAGATGTAGATTTGAGTTAATTATTCCAAATAAGATGATTTCAGCACTTGGATATCCTTCCCAGAGTCAATGTCTGACTTGGACTGGACTGAATGGTTTGGTAACTTGGTGACCCAGAGACCTTTCTAGGTACTGGTTAATCAACAGTTTTCATGGGCAGAGTGAACCAGCCAGTTAACTGATAAAACTGTGACCTAGTGGTCATTCTGTTTCGACCCAATGCACACTCACACTAGGATGCTCTAAAAAATGAGCAGTTGCCTGAATTCAATGAAATGAGGTCATATGCTAATATTGCATGAAAGACATTATTTTAGAGGAGTTACCATTTGCAAATCAATAAGGAGTTCATTAGGTCAAAAACACGGAATATTCTTTTGGAGGAACCGAGAAAGTTGATGATCAAGGAACCCATAACTGGGAATTTAAAAATAATGAGTCAATGTTTTGGGGGTTTCTGATCATGCTAAACTTGTGAACACAGGGTATTACTGCTTAATATGTCTGGCTGTAGTGATTATTTAGATGCAGTATAACGAAGCGTCAGTGGAAAAAGTAATTATATATAATAAGATGTATTTGATTATATGTTCTAGGGAGCAGTTTTCGCATTTGGGTGGTAAGGTATGTCTTATCGTATTGATGATTGAGAATGTCCAATGCAGGAGCCTTGGGTAAACATTCCAGAGGATATGATTCGTGAAGCACTCAAAGTAGTCCTTGGTACTGAAAATATTTAAATCCTAGGTTTATTATTATGACCATGATCATCCGAGAGGTTGGTTTCCTGCTTTGCTTATACCCAGTCTACTGTCTGCCATGCAGATGTTAGGAACCACCCGCTTTTAATTCATTGTAATAGAGGGAAGGTATGTGCACCGATATACCTCAGTTTTTTAATAAGGAGTTTTGAACTCTTCTAATTGTTTTCTGAGTGTATTTTATGGTTTCTCCACAGCACCGGACTGGTTGTCTGGTGGGGTGCTTGAGGAAATTGCAGAGGTGGTGTTTATCTTCAGTGTTTGATGAGTACCAACGTTTTGCTGCTGCCAAAGCCAGGGTTTCAGATATAAGGTTTATGGAGTTGTTTGATATTTCCAGCTTGAAACACTTGCCAACTTCATTTTCATTTTCAAAGAGGTAATGAACTCGTTTATCAAGAAGGGACTTCCTTCCGTATGTAGGGAGAGAATTCAAGGTTCCTGTACCAAGGAAGGAATGATGAAGAAGAGACCGAAGAGGCCCAAGGTGTGTTTTAGTGGTCTTTTTGGCAAAGAAGAATAAACACCAGTCCCTTTTTCCTCCTCTGTTAATAAGAGGAGAGTATTGTAGCATTAGCAATTATGTATCACCATTTTCCCTCCCTATGTTTCCAATTTCCAAGCGTTTCGTCTTCGCTTTTCTTTTTCTATTTCTATCTAACACAATCCGTATGGGCAGACTGGCTTTTCATCTTGTGGTTTTTCATTTATTTCTTCATACTACAGTTTTGAGGTGGTGTCCAAAATTAAAATCATAAAATAAACGCGTATACCGCCCCGAATCTCCTACATTTCACGCCTAATGATAATTGTATATTAGTCTATGATTGATTTGAATCTCATATCTCATTACTAAATTTAATTAAAAACAATCAAATGTCAAAGACATTATATTATATATTATAAATAAAATTAACTAGAAATGCCTTTGATACCAATATACTAAATTCTGTGACAGGATCTAACTAATATTCTATGCACACCTCGAAAGCATGAGCATCCATCTTTACATTGACAACATCTTCTCATGATCTTACATTTACGAGAGATATTCTTCATTTGTGATTGGATGCCGTGTACAGAGTTTTTATTATCCATGGCAGGTTGTGTAAAATTATATGTAAAAAAATTAAAAATTGGTTTAATAGGTAAAAGTATGATTTAGTGGGCGTTTATTATTGTCGTGTTTTTGAGTCAAAGAAAAATCATGACATTATAAATCAGTTCCAGCAAGAAAGACTAATAGTTTGTTGTGGCGTCAAAAAAACGACTAATACCGGCTAATTTTTTTTCTTTCTTTTTTTTTTTCTTTTTGGTATTGTATTGGCTAATGTTTGTTGTAGCACCCTGCACCCCATGTGAGATTGGATCTGGTCGTAATAAACAATGCTAAGCACATCAATGTTTTGTAATTTGTACCACTTGTCTAGGGGTGTATTTTGAGAAGGCTCGGGTTAGGCTTTTGCCAAATTTTGAATGAGCCCAACCCAAATGCCCAAGCTTGAAGCAGTGCATATGAATTAGAAAAGGAGGATGCTCCCTTTTGTTCATCAAGAAAAAAATGAAAAAAAAAAAACAAAGAAAAAAAAAGTATGCACAGCACAGAAAATAGTGATGTACGTAACATTGTTTTGTTACTAGAAGATAGATCTAAAGTAGTCATTTCTTATATTGTTCTCACAATGGATGATGCCTCTTAGAAACCCCCTTGTTGGTCATAAAGTTCTGTATTAGGGACTCGAATCTTTAAAATTTTTAAATTAGAATTATTTTTAAAATAGGTTAACTTAAAATAAGGGAAATTTTTTAAAATATAAAAATATTTTAAATGCATTTTTATATAAATAATATAAATCTATATTACTTATAAAAGTGCGAATGAGTACGATTTTTTTAAAGTTTCATTGGACAAATTTTGTCCCTTTATCTTGAGTTCTTTAAAGAGAAATTTTGTCTTCTGATGAAAAAATTTTTAACTGAAACAGCTTAGATTAATTGTAGTGGTTATCATTGCAAAGGTCACATAAACACGCCACCTCATTATCCCATTAAAGTCCATCCAACAAAAAGGATGAAAATGTTCCACAACCCAAAACATGAAATTACCTTAAATGGATAGAAACTCTCGAGTCTCCTCACCTCATTTTGTTGTGACTAGACTGGACATTTCAGATAAAATATTTAGTTTCTTTTTAAGACAACTTCTTACCCCTACAATATAGCTGGCTTTGATGTATATCTCCCAACTGATAAGGATCCATGGATTATTGTTAAATTCATTTTTTTCAACTAAATTTAAGTTCTTTGCTAATATAACAAATAGGAAATATCATATAATCAGATCCTCTCAGAAGCGACCCCACGAAACCTTTTTAAATCTATTATCTATTTTCCTCCATTGTTAGCATCACAAAGAGATGCTCAAGTAGTGCAATATTAAAGCAAAGGTCAATTATTTCAACAACAACACATAAAGAAGCAAATAGTGTTGATTAAGCATTGTTTGTGATATATTTGAGTTGAAAGATTGATGGATAAAGAAAAGTAATCGCTGAAAACAACAATAAAATGGTATTGTTAGGTTTCAAATTCTTTGCCAAGGTCAACTGACTTGCATTTTGATAATAACAAAATGGGTTGCCTTGAATTTTAATTATTTGGTAATTAGTAGACAAGGTTAACTCTTTTTAGTTAAGTATTTTTTAGGCATTCTCAAACTAGCTATGGCTTTAATTTTTTATTTTTTATAAAGGCTAATAGCTTGATGAATCTATTTTGTAAGGTTAGTTAAACCTCCATAATTATTTTAATTCTATCGTCTTTATTCTCAAAAACAAAATCGTTCTTCTATCTAGGTACAGGGTAACCAATTTGACCATCAAAGTCAAATGGGTCAACCCATGATGTTGTAGTTAAATAAAACATGTTTAAAATATAAATAAGTAAACATGGGCATATTTCTAATATTATATATTCACCACAGCAAACAAATACAAAAAAATAAAAATTATAGAAAATGTGGGCACATATCTAATATTTTAAATTAACCATATTAAAGAAAAGTAAATATAAGTAAGAAGAACTATTTTTATTGTTGGTAAAAATGAAATACAAAAATTAATAATGACCAAAAAATGAAATTGTTTTCCTATTTTGTAGTGGGCCAATAGTTCAACCTTTTTGGGCCAAATGCATCAACATTGATGTCATAATGAAACAATAGAATTAAAACAGATAAAAATATAGAAATTAGAAAAAAAGTTATAAAAAATATTTGGACACATCTCTAATATCGTGTATTCATCCATTCCAAACAAAAAATGAAGTGTGATAAATAAGAATTATTTTTATATAAAAAGATATAAGAAACAAATTATTATTATTATTATCATCATCATCATCATCATCATCATCATCTAAAACAATCATATGCAAGGCACATATACATTTAATAGTAATATTATGTGTGTGTGTGTGTGTGCAATTGGGGTTAGGTGGGGTAGGGAATTCACTCCCCATTCCTGTTCCCGTCCCCACCAAGGCAATCTCCATCCCTAACCCCATTGGGTCAAGGAAACTAGGTATCCATTTAGGACGAAGAAAATTGTCATCCCTACACTTGCATAACTACCTTATGTCAAGTTAAGTTATTAACCATAAAAGAGGTGATCCACATTTGTCATTTTTATTTAAGTCTATCTTATTAATGTTTTTATATAACAAAAATAATTTTTGATTTATTTCTCTCCCTTTTTTGTTTTCGTAAGTTAACTCATCTCACAACCCATCAACAATTACATTTAGGGATGTCAAGGAGTTGGGTTTTTTATGGGTTTGCTAGACCCTAACTCAACCCTCTAATTTTTCCACCCTAGCCCTTGCAACTTTCAATTGTACTTTTTATTAACATTTTGAAAAAAAGACCTAAGAATCATGACCCATTGAGGGTATATCAGCCAAACCCAAACTTAACTCAAATTAAAGAATCAAAATTATAACCCAGGGTTGGGTCAAAGACGGATTTACCGTTTAATCCGTTGACTTCGCCAAGAGATCAATTTGAGTGAAAAGATGAACTTATTTTTATTTTTAAAATTTTGGTTCAAAGGATTAAATTGAATAAAAGGGCATCATTATAATTTTGCAATTAATATTAAGGGTAAAATACAAAAACTTTCCCTGAAGTTTCTGACAATCATAAAAACCTCTCCTATAATTTCATTTTAACAAATATCTCCCTTGAACTTTTGAGAATCTCAACAAAAGCCTCCCTTCTGTTATTGTCCCAGACGGAAAAGTTAGATTGATGCACCAGTTTTTTTTTTCAAATACCCATTATAACCTTTTATAAATTATTTTATATACAAAATTACTGAAATAACCCATTTTTAACTCAACAAAAACCTCTTTTAACGATCATTTCAGTAATTTTACATACAAAATTATTGAAATATAATTTTTTATTGAATTAAAATGAGATTATTTCAGTAATTTTGTATGTAAAATAATTTATGAAAAGATAGAATGGATATTTAAAAAAAACTCATGCATCAATTTAATATTTTCGGTAATAAAAGGGAAGTTTTTGTTGAGTTTCTCAAAAATTAAGAGGAAATATTTATTAAAATGAAATTACAGGAAAAGTTTTTATGATTGTCAGAAACTACAGGGAAGGATTTTGTATGGGATTTTGTAAGTATGGTCGGGGTTGTTTTAAAAGAAAGTCAGATTGAAGGGTGTTTCAGATAAATAACCCTATGTATTTTATACATGGGAATGATGGGATATTGGGATTCATCAAATAAAATACACAGAGCATCTGCTGCTTCTCTAGACGAAGAAGTCTCTAGAATCTAATCGGGCTGTAGTCTGTAGGGCGTAGGGTTACGATGTTAGAGACGTAAAAAAAATGGAGACCTTCTAAAGCCAATCTCCCGTCCCCAAGCTCGCCCCAACCCAATTTCCCATCAACAACAGGAGACATCAATCTCTCAAATTTCTTCAATCCGATTTGGTGGAGGTGGACTCATCGTCTCCAAGTCTCAACCCCTGTTTGCTGTTTATCACTAAGCCGGTAAGGACTTCTCCATCTATTTTCTGGAATCTCTTCCTCAGAAAAGCCCCCAATTGTCACAAATTATATCGCCCAGTTATCTCTACTGACACTTGAAAATTGCTGCTATCTGTTATTTATCTTCGATTTAACTATTAGGATTTAGTTATATCAATTTTATTAGAGAGACAAGGCCGATAGAAAGAGAGAGATGGGAAAATCGGGAGGCAGGAGAAAAAAGGGGGGAGCAAACGCGGTGACAGGAGATGTATCGGTATCTGCTGCTAATGGAGGTATTGATTTGGATTCCACAATCTTCCTGAAACGAGCCCACGAGCTCAAAGAAGAAGGCAACAAACGATTTCAGGCCAAGGACTACGTGGGTGCTCTTGAACAGTATGATAATGCACTTCGCCTTATCCCCAAGACCCACCCCGACCGTGCTGTCTTTCACAGCAACCGTGCCGCTTGTCTGATGCAGATGAAGCCTGTTGACTACGAAACTGTCATAGCCGAGTGCTCACTCGCTCTTCAGGTTCAACCCCAATTTAGCCGAGCCCTCCTTCGTCGTGCTCGTGCTTTCGAGGCTCTCGGTAAGTGTGAAATGGCGATGCAGGATGTCCAATTACTGTTGGCTGCTGATCCCAATCACCGAGACGCTTTGGAGATTGCCCGTCGATTGCGTATTGCACTCGGGCCTCGGCAGGAGGCCCAGCAGGATCTCCAGAGCCGCCCCTCCCCCGCTGCTCTAGGAGCCTCTGCTGTTCGCGGGGCCCCAATTGCTGGCCTGGGCCCCTGTTTGCCGGCCCGTCCTGTACCTAAAAAGACAACAACTTCAGGGGCAGGCGCCGCGTCAACCCTCGGTGCCGGTTCTGGTACCGTGTCGTCGCTTAATAATAAGGGCGAGAAGACCCAGCACCTTCACATTACTGAAGAAAGTCCTGAGCTGAATACCCAGCAGCTAAAATCTGTTTCAAAACCTGTTAAAGATTCCTGTGTGGAGCCTGTTCCTTGTTTGGTTAAGGACAATAAAAAGGACTTGCTAATTCATAGGCAGTCTTCAAGCTTGTCTACCACTCGATGGAGGCCATTGAAACTTATTTATGATCATGATATCAGGCTGGCTCAGATGCCTGCCAATTGCAGTTTTAGAGTATTGAGGGATATTGTAAGCAAAAGGTTTCCCTCATCCAAATCGGTTCTCGTCAAGTATAAGGACAACGATGGTGATTTAGTGACCATCACCTGTACTGGTGAGCTCAGATTGTCAGAATCCTGTGTAGACGGCCTTACTCAAAAGGTGTCAGAAACAGAGAGAACTGATCCATTGGGGATGCTCAGGTTGCACATTGTCGAGGTGAGCCCAGAGCAGGAGCCACCTTTAGTGGAAGAAGAGGAAGAGAAGCCTGCAGAAGATGACACGGTCAAGGGAGATGAGAATGTTTCTCATTCTTCATCTGGCAGTTCTGTATTGGATGTAGTGGATACTGAGATTAATAAGACTGAGGAAGCAGCTCCAAAGGAGAAAGCTGGAGCTGCTGATGATACCGAATGTAAGGAGGTTGAGATAGACGATTGGCTATTTGAGTTTGCTCAGCTATTTCGGACCCATGTGGGGATTGATCCAGATGCCCACATTGATCTGCATGAGCTCGGGATGGAGCTCTGCACTGAGGCTCTTGAGGAGACTGTGACAAGTGAAGAGGCTCAAAGCCTCTTCGATATGGCTGCTTCCAAGTTCCAGGAGGTGGCTGCCTTGGCCTTCTTCAACTGGGGGAACGTTCACATGTGTGCAGCAAGGAAACGGATACCATTGGATGACTCTTTAACAAAGGAGTTGATGACAGCCCAGCTACAAGCAGCTTATGACTGGGTATGGGAGAAATATTCTTTGGCAGGAAAGAAGTATGAAGAGGCACTCCGAATAAAACCAGACTTTTATGAAGGGTTGCTTGCATTAGGACAACAACATTTTGAAACTGCAAAGCTTCAATGGTCCTTTGCTCTTGCAAATAAGATTGATCTCTCGAGCTGGGATTCTACTGAGACAATTAAGCTCTTTGATAGTGCAGAGGAAAAGATGAAGGCTGCAACTGAGATGTGGGAGAAGCTGGAGGAACAGAGGGCTAATGAGCTGAAAGACCCAAGTGCAAGCAAGAAGGAGGACTTGCTGAAAAGAAAGAAGAAACAGGGAGCAGGTATAAATGGTGGCCCCTTTGCAAATGGGGGTCATGGGGAGGTTTCAGCTGATGAAGTGGCAGAACAAGCAGCTGTGATGAGATCCCAGATACATCTCTTTTGGGGCAACATGCTTTTTGAGCGTTCACAAATTGAGTTCAAATTAGGGTTTGATGGTTGGAAAAAGAACCTGGATGCTGCTGTTGAAAGGTTTAAGCTTGCTGGGGCTTCTGAAGCAGATATTTCTGTGGTTCTGAAGAATCATCCCTCCAATAGCAATGTGGTAGAAAATAAGGAGAAAATATCTGCAAACCTAATCACTGATGCCAATGCTGAAGCAAATTGCAAGGAGGTCAAGAATGAATGAGAAAGGTGGCTTGAGATGATTGATTCTACATGCTTGGTAATTTCAAAGAATTATTCTGACTGCTTATTTCTTAAATGATCAGAGTTAAACCAGCTTTTTCCATAATTCAGCAGTTTTCAGCAAAATTTGGGGTAATTGGGTTCTCATTCTTTTCTAAGGAAGTAGAAGAGTTAGGTGCCAACAGGACACAAGTATGTTCACTCAAAAGTTTTTTTGTGTTTGAGTTCAGAACAGCTTCCAAGGTGACTTAATCTGAATTTTGATTTCAATGTAGATGCATTTTATTTGATGATTTCAATGGAATTATGCCCTGACTCAATTATTTGTCTATAAGGTCCCTTCTTGAATTTAGAGCAGTTTATTGATGCACTCATGACCTTTCAGACATGGTGCCTTGCTTTATTGTGAGTTATTTATATGTTCTTCTGAAGGAATTGTTGATTACTGATTATTTAATCTGGTACTGTACTACTTTCCCTCTTTTTCTTTGCTTATTTTCTGGTGGGAACTTCTTAGTACAGATTATATGAGGAGGATTAGTTTTTTATAATTATTGGAAGTGATTAGTAAATGGTTATGCATGCATGTTGGAACTTCTTTTCTGATATTCCCTTGTTGGTATATTTTTTGATAAAACTATGGGAAGTGATTAGTCAATGGTTATGCATGCATGTTGGAACTTCTTTTCTGATCTTCCCTTGTTGGGATATATTGTAGACCTCATACTATATTCTTAAAGGCAGATTTTTTTAATCAGCAATTCTTAGAGGCAGATAATCCAACCCAGAGAGCTAATTTAGTTAGATATGGCCTTAATATATTTTATTCCTCTGTTGCATCATTTTAACAGAGTACATGGTCTTGTGGATAGAAATAGCAGAGAATGTGACCTTAGAGTGGAATGCAATGAACTCATGTTGCATACCAAATACATTGGCGTAGCTAGAATGATGAAGATCTTGTTTCTTGCATTTGATCCAAGAGAAGTGGCATATTCCTTAATGACTTGGAAGGTAATCTTTTTTTCCTTCTATATTTGGCTGAAGATGTTCCATATGACTGAATAAAATGAACAGAAGGAATGGTTATCATGTTGCCTAAGTAAATATGTGGGACAAAAAGCTAGGATAACAGTGGTGACCATCATGTTTTTCCTTGTATAGTTCTATTTGCTCCAGAATGTCAGTATTCTGTTGGATGGTTTTAAATATATGTTCCTTTCCTTCCATATATAGCCCATGTTTCGTGGACACTGAAACACCTAATGCCAATCCTGCAGCCCTGACACAGCTTGAACGACCTTTCCCATAATTACAGCCTTAGTTGGGAGCTATTTATGCCAATAAGAAAAGTATGGGCAGGTGGGGAAGGGTTTAGGTAAGCATTAAAAGTTGGAAATTCAAAGGATGGGATTTAGAGTGAGGGATTACAAGTCCTGCATTCAATTAGTTGGGATTAACTGATTAAGGATGAGTTAAAAGGAGTTGTAAGGAATTCCACTGAAATGTTTGTGGGTGGGTAGGTTATGACACTGAGGGGATAGGTCTGAAGGATGGAGGGATGGCTCTCTCTTCCTGAACAGGGAAGTACTATGACAGCACTCATGTCTCCTCCCTTCTTATGATTTGGTATTTATAAATGTTTCCCCGGGGTTATGAAATCTTCCATCTTCAGAAGGTTTCCTGTCATGTTGTCAATCACCCTAAAAGTTTGGGATTTGCACCGATTATTGCCGCAGAGGTTTATGGGGATTCACCATGTGGCCTCAAGGGAACGTGGTAATCAGGTTTTTTTCCCTTTTCCCATGAGGATGTTGGCTTCAACCCTTTTCTTTATCCTCTTTTCCGGACTATTATGCCCTTGAATCATTCATGATATGCCTTCTGGTCCTTGCGCACCTTGTCTGACATGGTTTTGGGACCGTTCTGGTGGTTCTCATTCCCAATCCTATGTTGTGTAGTGGGCTTTCCTACTTCCATGCTCCTACAGTTTGTTATTGACCAGCCATGAGCAAGGGTGTCAATTGGATTGGATTTGGTCCAATCCGATCCAGTCCAATGTGAGTCCATTACAAATGGACCAAGTTCAATTCAATCCAATGAATATTTTGGACCATTTTGGACTGGTCCAATTCAATGTCCAGATCATCCAATCTGTTCAAATTCACTTTAATTTGGATTGGTTTCAACCCAAACCTAGTCCATTGACACCTATATTCTTATCTTATATCAGCAGACCGGATATTGGCTTAATCTGAATCCAATATAAATTTATTAGATGGACCAGGTCCAGTCCAATCTAATAAATATTTTAGACCAGATTGGTCCAATCCAATATGTCTTGTTGGTCTGTCCAATCCGTCCAAATTGATTTTGGACTGCATGGGTCCAGTCCAGAACCTGTCCATTGACACCCTTAGCAATGAGCATAAATATGCCATACAGCTTTTTTGCAACATCTCCTGTGATCATACTGTATCCCAAAAGATTATGCGTTTCTTTCACACCAAATGGACCAAAAAATTGTGAAGGGTACCATACTCCAATCTGTTATACCTTTTCTTCTCAAACCTCTTAAATGCCAAGGAAAAAAAATGCTTCAATAGAGGCAGGAAAGCGTCCTTTTCACACCAATAATCCCTAGGACCTTTGCCTAAAGTTTACTAGAGAAATTACGGTGAAGGAAATCATCCTCGATTCTGGACATTCTGCCCATGACACACAATCACAGCTTTCAAGTACCATACCCTGATAACTGCCCTTCCTTTTCGGATTGTCAACTATTAAGCATCTATCTAATGTTGCTGACCAGGTCAAGAGTGCCACCTTTGATGGAACATTGGAACCGTGAAAAACCAGATTCAGAGTTTAGTATGCAGAATTTAGAGAGAGAGAGAGAGAGAGAGAGAGCGTATGTGGTCATTTTGATATCTTTAGATGGAAGTATATATTTTTTCCCTCAAAACTGCCAGAGAAGAGAGGAATGTAATGAAGGGTAGATTGTAGGGGCCAGATGTCATAGGGTTTTGGATTGGATATTCTTGGCTTCCTAGACTTGTGCTTTTTTGGTAAGGATTTCTCCTCTGTTTTTTGTGAAACTCAAGAGGAACTAAAGAGGAGAAAAGCTTAATTGGATGATGAAATTGGCTTGATGGACTAAGGTTGTGATGCCTTCTATTTGATAGCGGTGGAGGTAAATTAAAACTGTAGAGAACAAAAGAGAAAAGTTGGGCAGAGTATAAAAATTCAACAGAGGGCCATTACCCAGACATGAACCTTTGTTGTCATGTTTGTGAGTCATTGACATGCTGGACAAGGCGTTGGATACAAAATTTACAAACAGCTATCTCCTTGATTTTGTTTTCACCTTGCACTCTTTTCGCTCATATAAATAACGAAAACCAAAAAAATTTTATCCAGGATATTTTTTATTCTATTTTATTGTAGCATATATAGAGTTGTAGTAGCAAATGCCTTTGTAAGAACCAACTCGAGGTTTTAACAGCTTTTTTACCTCTGTTCGACAATCTAAATTTTCACCATCTGCTTCAAAGTTGAAAGTTGAAACCCTCCCTCAACACACATTGAGCGTGTAATTGCATGCTCCACCAACCTCGGATCTATCTGAGCTGAGCGAACTAAGCTACGGCTGAACCTCAGAAGAGCAGAACGACCTTAAAATTTTGTCCAGTTAGCAAACTTAATTGGATTTTATTTGGGGGATGATTTTTTTTTTTGAAAATTCTTGATCAGTACCCTATACTTTAGGGGTTGTGTCAAGTCAGTTCCCGAACTTTAAAATATGTTTATGCAATATCCGAATTTTTAGAATGTGTCAAATAGGTTTCTGTAGTTAACAGTCCGTCAATTAATTTTGGAAATGTCAAAAGTATCCATCAGGTGTCATAATTTTTTTTTTCTGCCATTCCACATAAACCAATTTAAACAAAATTTCTTTCTAAGATAAGAAAGTTTTAACAACTATCCAACATGGATTTTAGAATATATAGGAAATTTTCATCAATTGTATAAAAAAAAATAAAGAATATACAAAAAACTATAGCAATGGTGGTTTCAGCCGTCGTTGGAACATGGTCAGTTCCCAGCACTATCATTGGTTCATATCTGTTCCTGGCACCGTCATCAGTTCCCGACACTGTCGTAGTAATGGTGCAACTCTTCAATCTCAATGTAGAAGACAATGAACAGTTTCTTCTTTCAGGGGTAGTTTTGATATTTTAAAAGTTTTAAGTGACGCATGTCATCACATGATACAAATAACTGACGGATTGTTAATGATAGGGGCCTAATAGACACATTTTGAAAGTTTAGGTACTGTATAGACACGTTTTGAAATTCAGGGACTGATTTGACACAACCCCTAAATTTCACGGTATTGATAAGGAATTTTCCCTTTTTTTTTAGCTATTCGAAACTGGGTTTTCAATTCAGGCGGGCAATTTTTTATTTGTTTCTGTTTAAAGAGATCCCCAAAAGGGAGGAGTCCCAAGGGAGCAATATATTTTTATTTGAAAAAATATTAATTTAAATAAAATTAAACTTACTAGAGAAGCTGGAGTGCTTTTATATAGATGGTTAGCCATATGTTTACTAGAAAGCCATCCTATGAGGTGGCAATTTAAATAAAAATTGATGGTCTATTTAATTTACAATCGGAATTAAAATCCCTTAGAATCAGAATTAGAATTGTCTATTCCTACAGTTTATTTGGTTTAGACGGAGATCAGAATGGAAATTGGAATCAGCTAGAATGAGATTTCATTCGCGAGGGAGAGGACCATTCCACTAGAAATGAGAATGAGATTTCAATTCTGCCCAACAATCAGTTGGAATCGAAATGGTTTTTTCCAATTTTGATTCCAGACCTCTATTCCTATGTGGCCCTTAGTCTCATTTGTTTACGTTGGATCTGCGTCGTCCTGAACGTAAGTTTTTTTTACAATTGTCATCATCGCTAAATATTAACGGAAAGAACAAATTGTCAAATTTACCCTCCATTATTTATCAACTTTTTAAATTAAAACCCAACTGATGATTGACCCATTTTTCCGGCAGAGGAGACTGAAGATCTTCCTTTGGTTCATTCTCAGGGTTTTAAGTTCGGTCGTTCCACTTCAAATTTGCTATTTAAGTTCGATCGCTCTCATTTTAAGTTGCACTCTCATCGTTCCACTTAAAAATTTTTCTCATCGTTTCCTAATTTCTTTGCAACTCTCACATCGTTCTCGCCCAATTTCAACGCCTCTAATTCAGACTAGGTGAACTTCTAACAAATTAGTTAAGCTTAATTCTGTATTTAACCCTAGAAAGAAATGCCTCGAAGTTTCAACTATGGCATCCACGGTTACCATCGAGGCCAAAACCACCATGGAAGATATTGAATTGTTGTTCTCACAGAAGAGGCTCAACAGAATCAGATTAATAAACAGTCGAGCAGTAGTTCCTTGAATGTTTCTTCGGGTGTTGTGCTAGAAAACATTAGTCGTCCATCGAATTCTCAAGTGGTTTCTGCACCTTCTCTAACCTCTCAGCAACACACTCATGAACTCCTCCTTCAAAGTCCTTCTTGGACAAACCACAGGTGTTTGGTTTTGTTTTCGGTTTGTTCTTGCCTCTGATATGCGGATTTAAGGGCATAATGTCTTCTGCAAGCTCATCGCTTTCTCTGGCGACAAAAAACAGGTGTGGTTGTTACAACCAGGGCGAGGAATAGAGAAGTAGAGGCCACAACATTGGGCATTAGCGGCAGCGGAACTGAAGTTTGGACCCTCCGTCCAAGTTTGCGACCAGAACAACAACTCTGCTCTCCTTCTCATCCTCTACGCCGAACTGAAGCCTGACCCTTCGTTCTCCAAGTCTACAACTAGACCGACGAAACTCGACGATGCAAGAAAGAGAGCTCTTTCTGCAACCAGACCCTCTGTCCTTCGTCCTCCGTCCTCCAAGTCTACAACCAAACTGATGAAACTCGACGATGCAAGCTTTACTCTCTTCATTGAACTGAAGCTTGACCTACAATTTTCAAATTAGAGAGAAAATAAGAGGGAGAAGTCAAAAACAAAACGAAAAACGAAGAGAGGGTTCTCCGTTCTTCACGTCCTTATTCTTCTTTTCTTTTGCAGGTGCGAGCTTCTAAAACTCCTCAGAATCGCCGAGGACAAGAGTCATGGTGCATCCATACACTTGCTGATCTGAATCATTCTTCTAGTCTCAGCTTTAACGATGATTCAGATGGTCCCCAAGAGTACTATATCGGCGGCGAGAAAAGATACCTCCAGGCGCATGTTCCTGTCACCATGGTGGTCTCGGCCGAAAGCGATGACAACGAGAAGAATGACCACAAGGACAGGGTACAAAAGACCTTTAGAAACTTGCTTGAAGGTTGCAATGGAGATCTTCCCCATCGAAAAGTCCGATTACAGTAGGTTGGAAAGATTTTGTTCTTATTTGTCCGAGAGAGTTGTTTCTCTTTCTGTATACAGAAAGGGCATTACTTTCATTTTTTCAAAATATAACAGTGTTGGCATGTGATGGGATTTATAACAGTGTTTTTATAATTATAATTTTCAATTTTATTAAAATTATAAAACAATCCAAAAGTGGTCAATAAACAATTTTGTCAAATTAAACACCAATACACTTCTACATTGTGTGGATACGCACAACTCATAGGATACTTAGGTCGTGGATCCCATATCTTGGCCATGGATATAAATACCACATACACTGTATTAGAAATATCATATCAATACTTTAAATCTTGCAATGACCACTACAAGCACTGCAGGTAAGGCCGTGCGGCAAGCCAACAACCAACAATTTACCAATGTGCAACTAATATTTTTTGTCTTGTTCCCTACATATTTTGAACACAGTCGATGCATGATCTGATGTTGAACTCTTTCTTCTTTCAACCAAAATATAGGCATTGAGCTCAAGGTTTTGTGAAGAAGCTATTCGTGGCTTTGATTGGAGTGAGGATTCCTAAGGTATTGTGAGTAGTGAGCTCATTCTCATGTCAACAATATCATCAACATACAATAGTATGTTATCCTATCCTTTCCGCAGGTTCTTATAATTGGGTCCATTTTGGTGAGACTCGATTGTCTCAAGAACTGATCGGTTTTGTTCTAGGTCTAAAGTTATAGATCTCATAGGGTCTGGTTCAATACTGGGACAATATAATCCATTATTATTTGGTATCATTTATGCCATGTAAACTGATTTTTGAAAAATAAGCTTTGAGTCTGTTTGATACTGATTTTCAAGGCTCAATTATTTTTATATTAAAATTATTATTCAATGTCATGTTGGATGCCATATCATCCTAAACAAAACCGGAATCAGTTAAAAATCAGGAAATCATCTGAAAAGGTGATCCTTGAAAATTAAACTCGAAAGAACTTTTAGGTCAACGATCTGCCACGTGATCATTCATATGGCAACATGGGATCACACGTGATTCATCCACTTATGATTCACTAGCCTCTTGAATTTTGATTTATTACCCCATTTGCCACTGTTCTAATTGTACCATCTTTTTTTTTATTCATAGAAATTATAAAATAAAAAAAAAATTCCTTACAAAACAATAAATGCTTTACCACCTTTATTTCTCCACAGATGAGAACTACACATAGGACCCATCAACCTATACAAGAAAAGTATAGATATCAAGTTAGGTAAAGAGTATATTTGATCCAATTCGGTAAGAAATCCGGCCGATCCATATTCAATAAGAATTTATTGAATTCTCAAAATTATGATTCTAATGAAGGATTTAAATATCAATACTATATCATATCGATTGATAACAAATCAACGTCTTTCTATTCATGTGTTAGTTAGTTGAAAAAAATGTGATTAGAATGATTTGAACCCAAATCATTAAGCATTAAAGCCTTATTCACATTCTTAATCCACTGGACCACATTTCATACTATGACAAGTGAAATGGAATATTATTTTATCAATTATAGTGTCCACATGTAATGCGAACAAATAGCATACATTTGTGTCCAATTCAATAAAAAAATAATATTCAAAACTAATATTTTGTAAACTAATAGAATAAATAATTTCTTAAACCCACATTTATATCAAAAAGTGGTTTTTAATCTTCTACAAAAAAAGTGGTTTTTAATCTCAAGAAATTTATACCAATAAAGATATTAATAATAGAATTAATTATTAATAATTATTTTAATTTGAATTAAATAAAAGTGATGCTATTCGATTTGAGGTGCCCTGAACTGAGGCTATAGTCACATAGTCCTGCCAATTGAACGAGGCCGAGGTGGAAGGACGAAGCCGCATAGCAAGAACTAAAACAAGAAAACAGTTAGAGGCTTGAGGAGTTATTCCCCGGGTAGGTACTCCGACGCTCAAGTTAGTCGAGAATGGTGGGTGGTTGGGTCGAGTAGTTGTGAGCAATGCTGGACCGAAGAGAATAATAGTATGGAGGCTGAAGAGTCAAAAGTCCCTTACCTTGAGAGGAGATTACCTACTTATAGCCGAAGATCCGTGTCCGATTTGGATGAGGCTTCCGGTGTTATTGAGATTAGGTTGTTTGCTGAGGTCTTCGGGATAAGACCTAATTCCCGACGGAGCTGTCCTCCTTATTTGTACGATGCTCTCCTATCTTAGTCGTGCTTATCCAATCACGTGGTGCCAACGTGGCCGGAGTGACAAGGCGGCCACGGAGGTGACACGTGGCACCCAGGGCCGACTCAACTATAACCCAAACACCACTCCCCCGGTTTTGAAGTCGAGGAGTGTAGTGCTCGGCCACGGTGTGGCATGGATGAGTTCTTCGGTTCTTGGTTGAGGAACTTGAACATGAAGTTTGGTTGAGCGCGCTATCTGGGCGGAGGGACTCGAGGTTGAATCGGTTGGCTCGATGCTCGTATCGTTTTCAGAAGGGTTGACAGAAGCGTTGTTTTGTTTTCTCGAGGTTACATGCGTGCGAAGGGTGGTGGTGTTATTTCATCTTCCTGAGCTGTTAGAGGGCGGAGTTTGATCTACGTTGTTGATCTGGATCATTGGGGGTCCTATAAAATGGGGTGAAGAACATTTCCACTTTGTCATTTGCGAAGGAACTACATTTAGAGCTCGGCGAGAGGTAGTGTTTGGCTCGGTGTTGCTTTAGTTCTGCGGTCTAAGCTTCATAAAGTTCAGTAAGATGTCGTTCTCGTCCACTCACTTCTCCTACTCTTCTTCCTCTTCTTCCCATAGTGAGTCCGAGTCAGGGTTTCTCATTGAGGCTGTCGCGCTCAGTACTCATGAGGCCGACGGCCAGGGAGCCGAGGCTAAGGAGTTCAAGGCCTTCAATTCTGAGTGGGTCGTTGAGTGGGAGGTTGAGGCTGATCCATCAACTAGGGAGGAGGTCGCCCTTCCTCCGTAGGCTGGTAGCCAATTCGGGACCACCTCTTGTTGTTTGACGCCTAGGGACTTAGCCCAGATCAAAGCCTTGTATTGTATACTTGAGGAGTATGAACTTAGGTGCTCGAGTGCTGGTGAGAGACCCACTTCAGCTCGGCTAGGCGAGCTTTGTGTATACAAGCACAGCCTGATGGTTGGGCTAAGGTTTCCTTTGTGCGAGGGAATTGTCGAGGTGTTCAGGTGGTACCGGGTATTGCTTGTCTAGTTAATGCTGAACTCCTTCAGGTTTGTAGTCGGCCTTCTTTCCTATTGCTTTGTCCACGGCCTTAAGATCACCTTGTGAATGATTACCTACTTTCTCCAATTGAAGCAACACCATCAAAGGTAATACTACTTCTTGGCTCGATAGTGCATTAAGATGTTGGTCGGGGCCCGTCTTCGGTGAAGTGCTGGAAGGGGAAATTCTTCTTCATGTGCTGTCCTGGAGGCTCGCCTCTACTGGTCGAGCTTCAGAAGCCGAGGACAAAGGTAAAAGCGTCCAGTGAGTCCTAGTTCATCGAGGAGAGAGGGCATCGATAAGAATGACTAAGGAGGTTGACGTGATGGAATACACGTCCTTCTCGATGTTGATCCACATCGGGCTGATGAGTGAGGTGACTGATCTGTTTGTCCTGCTGACATCTTTGATTTTGCTTTTTTTGAGCTCTTCTACTTGGTACTGATGTGTCATTTGCCTTGTGTAGGTGTTGAGATGGCCAGTTGTGAAGAGATGGCATGTCAGATGAGGGCCGCGGCAGAGAGGGCGCAGTTTAGAAGGGCCCAGGGGACTCAGCCACGGGCTGATGAAACGCAACTGAGGTTTGCGAAACGCACTCCCCGACAGCAAAAGAGGCCAAGAGTGGTTGAGGAGGTGGTGGTCGACCCGGAGGAGGGTCCTTAGGCCGTCCACTCTCCTCCCTGTGAGAGAACGTGCTGGAGGGCGGCAATCCCACTATGTACGTGCCACAGTGGGATGTTCGGCCCAAGGACGAGCTTAAGGCATAAGGCATTCCCGAGCAGTTGGTCCGGGGCTTGCTGATGCCGACTATCAGGCACAAGCTCATTGGGTCTTCGAGCGGTTCTTTGGAGAGTGCACTCCTGCACCAGGAAGTCTTCTTGCTTCTTTGGTTACTTTTTCCTTGGTTGATTATTTCTATTGTGCTGACGATGGTCTCTTTCATAGAATGCTTGCTCGGTGGTCGCCGTGGTTGACCGCCTCCGAATGGTGCAATGCCTTCACAAGGCGTGGAAGGCCGAGGTAGAGTGCTCGAAGGCTCGGTTGGTCGAGCTTGAGGCCGAGAATGCCGATTTGAAGCACGACATTAACGAATAGAGTGACACCGCTCATAAGCTAAAGAGTCGTGTCTTCGAGCTGAAGGGAGCACGGGAGGCGCTGAAGAAGGAGGCCGATGAGAGGGTGGCTCGTGCAGAGGAGGAGGCGATTTCCAAGTTCAAGGCCTTGGAGGACTATCAGAATGCATTGGACGACTTTGCCTCGCACTCCTGGGCGGAGGGTTTCTACCTTTGTCACGACAAGATTGTGTGTCAGTTCCCCAACATGGCCGATGCCTTATAGGGTTTGGACCCATTTGACCCCCTATGCTGACCGAGGATGGTGTCGCTACCGTCGAGGTGCCCGAGGAGGTCGAGGAATATTCGGCCGAGGAGTGAAGGCTTCGCCTACTGCTGCTGCCGCTATCTTTTCCCTTTCCTTTTTTTGTTATTGCGATGTACATGGCTCAGTATGCCAAGTTGTAATTATTTGTGTTATTAATGAAAAAGCATCTTTTGTTCCCAGTTGTGTTTCATTCTCTTCTTTTTTCTCTTTGTTGAACTTGAATGAGTGGGTTAGTTGCAAGCCTCGGTCTTATTCTGGCCAAGGTCTAGGGTAGCCGAGATCCAGATGTTCTAGTCTTTGGCTTTTGCTGGCCGAGGTGCTTCCGAGCTCTCATCGCTTCGGGGATGCTTAGTTGTCACAGGTGACTCCTTCGTCGCGCCATCAAGCACCTACAGTGAGCCATCTGAGTGCCAACCGCGTGCCTTCATGGTGTCAACAAGTGTGTCATGGGTGGGCTTTGCTTGTATTTTGTAAGGGGGACCGCCAATGGCGTTATTGTA